TGTCTGAGTTGCATCAAAATCCATTGGGCTTATGCTCATGGATACCTAGAACATCCCTGAAATTTTGGAATTGATCAAACACAGCATTCCAAAGTTATCACATTACAGACAAACAGAAATGCCACTGAGTTGATTTGAGTGTTAAACCTTGAGTCACTTGGCCAACTATAGAACTTCAGAACACAAGACTACTTTAGAAAATTAAAACATGTTCAGATTTATACCTTTACTTTCCTCCAAAAGTATTCAAGTTTGTCACCTTCCAGGTCTGTGCAAAGTTCCCATTAAAAGGAAAATTCTGGAAGAATTTTGAACAATGGAGCTACTTTTGGCATCTCTCTATTAGGGTAGAGCATTTGTAGCTGTAAGGGGTGGTACCAGCAGCTACAAGGTCATAAATATGATTAAGAATAGTTATCAAGTTGAAACCTAAAGAGACTTCAAGTAATACATTGTATTATTTGGGAAAAATATGCATGGGTTAATGATTCCAGTGATGTGGAACAAGCACACCTCATGTTCATGTTTGCACCAAAGTACTTTACGCACACAAAAAACAGTTCTCTTTTGCAAGCCACCAAGTTCTAGTGGCTTGAGCAGGGGACCAGCAGTCAAGAGAACTGTGTTCTATTCCTGGTTCTGTCATTAACTCACAGCATGATGTTTGGTAAGTCATTTAGGCCATAATTTTTAGTTACTACACACCTGTGCCTCAGTTTCCCCTCTAAAATACAGGTCTGATATTGACACACCTCAGGGGAGGACTATGAGTAAGAATATGATTACAGAGATCACAGATTCCGTGACTTCATCGGACCTCAGTGATTTCTTTGGCTTCAGCCCTGCTGCAGTGGCCAGAGCTGCCACCCCATCCTGCAGCAGTGGCCAGAGCGGTCAACAGCCAGGGCCAGAGCTGTCCACCCACCACCCCTCTCCAATGGCTAGGGTGGGAGCTGTCTCCTCCTCCCTCCCTCCCACGTGGCCGGGGATGGAGTTGGAGCTGTCCCCCTCCCCCTGCAGTGGTGGGGGCTGTGAGTCGCGTCTCCCACAGTTCCCTGGGCAGTCACACACATTTTATCATCACAGAAATGGAAGACTCCTATTAAGTCTGAGATCCTCTCTCCTCCATCCTTGTCCAGGGCAGAATTATGCCATACAGTGCAGTGCTTTGTCTAGAGAGGACCCCAAGCCAAAAAACTATGGAGAAGTTCAGAAATTAACTCCACATATCCCTTCTCTACTTTGGCCAAGCATAACGTGGAACTTGCCATACTGCTTCACTCAATCCACGATTCTGTCTCTGTCTGTAGCCAGTATTAAATAATTCAGGGGAAGGAGAAAGATACTCCATAGGGAACAGTTATGGAATAACTCAACCATAGTGAAAGTTTAAATTCCTTCAGTTAGTGATTGGGTTATGTTCTGAAGCAACAGGTTTTATATTCATTCTACAAAACAAACTTTTTATGCTGTCTAATTTAACAGTGGATGTTCTGATTATCTACATAGAAGTGCCTAATCTTTATTCATATCCTAAGAACTTATCCTCAAAGATGTCTAGTGGCAGTTAGTGCTACTGGATAGTTATCTGTTGTGTAAAATACCCTAGTTTTAAAATGTCCAGTGGAAGGGAGTACCTGCCCTTTCCCTTAAGGAAGTATTCCATGGCCTACCATGCCCCACAATCAGGAAGTTATCTTGATGTTTAGCTTATATTGTCCCTATTTTAATTTTTAACTACCCAAGACAGAAAACCAAGTAACATATACTATTTTGTATCACCCTAAATAATTCCTATTTCCAACTGTGGGGTTTATACTTTGCAGTCATAGATGGTTATTATTCATTTAACAGCCACTGATTTACTGACTTGCAAACCGACAGAGTCCCAGCCCCAAAGGAGGACCAGCAAGCTCTCCATGGACCATTAGAGACCTACTTAACTACAGCATTTTCACGGTCAACTCAAAAATGTTAAAATGATTAAACGATGAAAAGTAAATTGGTTTCTGAAATTCTACTGCAATAATCTAAGGTGCTATTAGTAACAATTAAAGACATTAAAAATTGTGTACACCTCTACCCAGATATATAACGCAGTCTTCGGGAGCCAAAAAAATCTTACCACGTTACAGGTGAAACCGTGTTATACTGAACTTGCTTTGGCCTTGAGCACTTCTGTTATTAATAGTCACTTCCTGCCCCCTGACTGACCCCTCAGAACCCCCGACCCATCCAACCCCCCCCCCCGCTCCTTGTCCCCAGACTACCACCTCCAGAAACCCCCCCCCGGTCCCTAATCACCCCTCCCAGGACCGCACCCCCTACCCAACCCCCCTGCTCCCTGTCCTGACTGCCCCGACTCTTACCCACACCCCTGCCCCCAACAGGCCCCCCAGGACTCCCACACCCTATCCAACACCCCCATTCCCCGTCCCCTGACCGCACTGCCCCCAGAACCTCCGAACCATCCAACCCCCCCCACCCGCTCCCTGTCCCCTGACAACCCTCCAAGACCCTCTGCCCCAGCCCGGCACCCTTAACACGCCGCTCAGAGCAGCGTGTCAGAGCCAGACACGCTGATCCGCCAGAGCGCACAGCTCCACCCCCCAGAGCGCTGCGTTATATCCGAATTCGTGTTATATCGGGTAGTGCTACATCAGGGTAGAGGTGCATATATTATTTTTAACCCAGGTATCAAATTATTGTTGCTATTCTCTCACCTCTAAAGGGTAGAATACCACTTAGTGAGATAACTTCCTCAGTGAGGCCAAGGTTCATTATGAAATGCTAAACATAATTCTACTCTACAAGTTTGCAGACAAATTGTAGTAAAAACTTCAGAAATTATGATTTAACTTGTATTAAAAGTCTTTAAAGTCTGAAGCAACAAGAGTCTGCTGCATGGGTCATAAGAATGTGTAGAGAGCTAGTTAGGTTTTTTTTAAAAAGTTAATAGTTTCTGATACTATGTGTGTCCTGAAACCACTTACCAATTTTGGTGTTTTAAAAGAAGTAAATTAAGTGTTTCTCTGACTCGCTGCCGTGTGCAAATCCCAAAAGCAACAAGAGAAACTGATGATACAGAAAGTGTAGTGAAATATACACTATAGAAGACAACTATAGGGAACTGACTATACAGGAAGGGCTGTCATATACATAAATAAAACATAACACTGAGAAGCGTTCCTCTCTGTTACTTGTAATGACAGCAGACAAACAATTTTCAGGCAGAAGTGAGATTTTTACTTTGGTACATCCATTTAATATCCCCACCCAAACTCCCACTTCCTTGTCTTGAATACTTGCAGTGTCACAAGACTCTTGAGTGTATTATTTCTCAGGAGGGAGTGCTATGAGGCTGGTAGCTGGATACACAGAAAAGAGAAACTTGTAGATGACTTGCACTAACTGACAGGTGAAAACACTGGGGAAAAAAAAGGAAATGTGTAGGGAGGTCCAAAGCAATAAATAACGGGATAAAACTTAGTTAAGAAAAATTAGGATGCATATCAGGAAGAGTCCTTTAGTAGTGCAAGCTATTAAGGCTTGTCTACGTTTACCGGAGGATTGACACTGTGGAAATCGATGCATCAGCGGTCAATTTAGCGGGTTCTGCTAAATCAACCTCCAATCGCTCTCCCGGCGACTCTCCACCTGATCGAGAAGAGTAAGGGGAGTCAACGGGAGAGCATCTCCCATCGATGTTGCGTAGTGTGGACCCCGCAGTACGTAGATCTAAGCTACGTCGATTTGAGTTACGCTATTCATGTAACTCAAATTGCATAGCTTAGATCGACTTTTCCCTTTAGTGTAGACAAAGCCTGAGATGGATTATTCTCTCAAGGGAAGTAAAGCAAGTCCCAGCACCTGAGACATGTAAACTAGAAAGGGCAAAACATACTACAGCATACCATCCTGTCACAGCTGAGAAGATGAGCTAATTGTGACCTAACAAGTAACTCCCTCCTCCTTCAACCCAATATGAATTTCTGTTGGTATATGAAAACTAAAAATGCTTAGCAGATTGGGCCTTTTAGCTTTGCTCTCTGAAACTCCCTCCCCCATAAGATACTTATTTGGGTGGAGTACCTCAGAAGGCAGAAAGCTAATTTATAATCAGACTAAGACAATATATTAAGAAAAATAAAAGTAATGATAAGACCTGTATACACACTGGATTTTTCTGGAGAGTTATTTTTGCATCACCATTGGTGCTGGAATTTTAAACATCAACACATTGGATTAAAGTAGTTTCCTGATAATTTAAAGAGAACTTGTATCATTTGTATCAATTGATGGTGCTGCCAAAACAAATCCCAAACAGTAAGTAATCACTGCCTGAAAAAGCCAGGTGATCCCCTGGGAACTTTAAAATATTATCTACATGGAAGTTAGTTATTTGTTTCTGAGGGACTGGACTAATCTATAATTAAAATGGAGAAAAGTTCCAGACAGAGTTCTGGCAACTGAAATCCCTATTTGCGAGGCAACGGCAATAAAGACGATGACTGGGAAAGCTCCCCCAGCACCACTTCAAGTCCTCGGCTGCATCCTCTGAAGCATTTCTGGGATTAGGAGGCTGGATCACTTGCCCTCTTCATTCCCTCTGAAGCAACTGGCACCAGCCACTGCCGGATGACAGGCTATCGGGCTAGATAGTCCATTAGCCCGATCCAGCCAGGTCATTCTTAGAAGGCTCAACTTCCATGCCCTATTCAGTCCCTAACCTACCTGCAGACTAAGGGAGGGAACGAATTAGCGGGAGTTATCATGGTGATTTTGGCAGGGGGGTCATCTGTCCACGGCGAACCAGCCGGAGGCTTGGGCTACACTGAAAACGGACACGGGCAGCGACAGGCCGGGCAGGGCGCGGTGCCGGGGAAAGCCACACACCCGGGAGACGCGGCGGTGCTGACCGCACCCCGGATGAAAGGGGAGGGCTTCCGTCGACACAGCCCCGGTCTGCACTTCCCAGGTAGCCCGACCCAGCTGGCTCGCTCAGCGGTACGAACGACCCCGCGGGCTGTAGTTAAGCCGGCCCGACCGAAGCCCGCCCCGCAGACGCAACCAGGGTGAGGGCGGACGTGGCCCGCGGCCGGGCTCGGGGAGGTGGAGTCGCGACAGCCCCCAGGGGCAAAGCCCCTGCGCTGCGGCGGGAAGCGCCACCCGCCCCGCCACTGGGCCCCGCGGCGGCGGCCCCGGTTACCAGGCATCCCGCGCCTTCTTGGTCTCGGGGCAGGCGCAGCAGGGCTTCAGCGGCTTCTTCTCCTGCGGCTCGGGGCCCGGGGGCTCGCAGCTGGCGGACGCCAGGCTCGACATCTTCGGCGGCGGCTTCGCAGGATCCCTGCGGACACAAGGGGCCGGTGAGAGCCCGCTCCGCCCGCCCGGCCCCCAACGCCCGGCTGCCCCCGCCCCCCGCGGGGCCCCTCGGCACCTCCCCGCTCACATGCGCAACCCTCGCACGCTCCTACCTGGGCCCGCGCACAGATCGTCAATGCGCAGGCGCCTGGCGGGCCGGGACTTCTTCCGGGCAGCGGCTTCCCTCCCGTGAGCCCGACACTTACTGCGCCTGCGCGCCCATTCAGGGACGCGCCCGGAAATGGAGTTCTGCTGCGTGCGTACGCACCCGCCGCCGCCGCGCGCCTTTGGTCGCTCCACGCGTATCCCACTTATCGACCCCCCCTCGGCCGCGTGCTCGCCCCCACTCGCCCCTCCCTTCTCACCCTTGCCCTCGCCCTGCACGTGCCCCTCCCCCTCTGCTCTGGGTTGCTGAGATTGCAAAAACGAACGAGACAGTGAAAGGGGGGGGGGGGGATACAAAATTTTGCTTCCTTGGAGCCCATGTGTTTTGGGAAAGCTGAGGAGGCCACAGAGACCGGGTTTGGACTGTTACAAAGAGCATGGGGAACAGAGGTCACTGAACAAAACGCCCCCAAAAGAATTCAGGACTTAAAAACCCTTCTGAGAGCCAAGGCAAATTGGAGATCAACAGCAGAACCTGGACGACCTGTGCACACAGGACAGAACTTCTGTCCCCCCCCCTCCCCCTTTTCTTCTTACATTACAGCCCAGCCAGCCTTGCGTAGTGTGGGTGTGAGTATGGAAGTGGGTTAGGGCTTGGGGCACTAATGCTTTTTCCCTTTCTCTGAGTAACGTGGAGGCCCCCCCCCAGCACTCTCCACTATTATTTTATTATTTTATCGATAAAGCGTTAAAACTTAGACGCTTAATGTACTCCTTCATCTCCTCCCCTAACAATCCTGTGGCCTCAGCCTTATCACCTGACTCCTCAGGCAGATTGGTAACAGAAGTCTGTCACGCTACCTCAGATCCTGGTTTGTCCTGGACTTTCTGCTCTCCCTACAGATTTCATTATAATCATCTTAAATGTAATAGACTGAGAGAGAAGATCCCCCTTTCCCATCCCCCAGGTATCCCTTTCCTTTTGAAGAAACAGTATAATAGAAGGTAACATAAGAAACACCTACCCTCCACTTCATTGTCTTTCCATTCATTTTCAGGTGGCATTTGAATATAGAACTTCATTCCCTTGTCTATGCCATTTACTTTCCCCCTCCCTCTTGTTTAATTTTTATTCTGCAAAGCATTTCAGAAAACACCTTCTATGAAAGACTGCAAAATAAATACAATAGGTTTTCACAAGGAAATTTATTATAGCAGATATGTGTTTACAAAATACTGGTACATTAGGTAGAGTGGTATTACACTTACATATTGTTAACTATTTGTATGGATTGAGCATTGCTATATTGGCATTCCATTGTGTATGTTCATTGTGTCTCCATTATATTTTATTTGTGCACAGTACTTTACCCTTCATTCTTTCATGTGTGGGTTTTTGTAAATCTGGAAAACTTTGCAAATAAATACAAAGGGAAAATGAAAAAAAATACTCTTCCAATTACTAACCACCACTTTTTTTTTTAACCTACCCCCATATGTCTGGCTTTACTAAAGAAACAGGTGCTCAGATACTACAGTGATGGCCACAGTATGAAAGTATGGATAGATTATACTGTGCTTGTTTGAGCTGAACAATACATAGCAAACTGTCCTTCTGGCAAGTTATATCTTTTGTTGCATATATATATGCATGTTATATCTTTTGTTGCCAGTTGAAAAACCAAAGGCTCTGAATGATCATGAGCTTTTGATTGGTGTCTGCACATCAAGATCAGTTCAACAGGAAAAAGAGTTTTTAGTTATCAGCCAGATATGGATAAGAATTTTAATATAAAGATTAGTATTACAGCTTTGCCACTTCTATCATCATGTTACATGCTTGTCCTGAGGTAGAGTTCAACAATTCAGCATGACAGACAAGTTATAATGCAAGTGATTCAAGTTGTCCTAATTGCCCGTGTTCTGAAGCTCTTGCGCATCATAAGAATGAAGAGGTACATTGAAGAGTGGGATGAGGTCAGTGTACTTGCCAACTTATCAGGATTTTGTGTGATTTATGATTATGAGAGAAACAAAAATGATTAAGGGTATGGAACAGCTTCCATATGAGGAGAGATTGGTAAGGCTGGAACTTTTCAGCTTGGAAAAGAGATGACTAAGGGCGGATATGATAGTGGTCTATAAAATCATGCTTGGTATGAAGAAAGTAAATAAGTGTTATTTACTCCTTCTCATAACACAAGAACTAGGGGGTCACCAAGTGAAATTAATAGGTAGCAGGTTTAAAACAAATAAAAGGAAGTATTTCTTCACACAATGAACAGTCAACCTGTGGCACTCTTTGCCAGAGGATGTTGTGAAGGCCAAGACTATAACAGGGTTTAAAAAAGAACTAGATAAATTAATGGATGATAGGTCCATCAGTGGCTATTAGCCGGGATGGGCAGGGATGGTGTCCCTAGCCTCTGTTTGCCAGAAGCTTGGAATGGGTGGCAGGGGATGGATCACTTGATGATTACCTGTTTTGTTCATTCCCTGTGGGGCATCCGGCATTGGCCACTGTCAAAAGACAGGATACTGGGCTATATGGACCTTTGGTCTGACACAGTAGGGCCATTTTTATGTTCTTAAAGTCAGGTCCCCAAAACTTTGCCTGGCTGATGGCGACATTTGGTAACAGGAACCAGTTTCAGGTTGCCCTTATTTTAATACAGCTTTGTGGTCATTCAAGACCAAAAATCCCAGCAGACTATACGCCATCTTCACACAGACAGATCAAGAGCATCATATATTAGGACCTGTAGCCTCTGTTGTGTTGAAGATGAGCAGGGTTTCTGGAAGCATTATAGAACACCATGTTCTCTACTTTGACTATTCCAGAATACACTAAAGGAGGAGTCAAAAAAAACTTAGGTTGTCCAGTACCATCAAATTCCTTTCTTTTTATCATTCTATCCATATTTTGTTTCTACAGTTTGACAGTTTAATGTCTGATGAAAATAACTGGCTACCACTGATATGCAAGAGCACAGGAATGGTCATACTGGATCCTTTCTTTTGACATATAGCTTCAACAGTGGCACCTCTTCAGTAACCACTCCAGGGTATCTGAAAGAGTTAAGCAATTCAGCCCCATGGGCTGGATATATGCAGAGCTGAGGATCATTTTCAGGGGTTAGAGTTCTTTGATCCTTGTTGTGTTGAGCTTGGGACATCATGATGGGAAGAGAGCATCCAGACAAAAACAGGATGATGCTTATCCCATCTTGGGTCTCACCGTGGGAACATATGCCATCAGCTGACAGGGATCCTGCTCTTCACTGTTCAGTCCAAGAACAGCAATTTAATAAATTAATCACCACCCATGATTTGCTTGAGACCTGGCTGGATAATGCTGCAGGGCCCTTGCCTGTAGCATTTTTCCGTCAAGTATTTGGTTCAGCATGAGCAGAGGAAGGATATTGTAGATGTGTTGCTAGCATCTGATGTCAAATGTATGAGGTGCCTGACTCAAAAAATTGATTTGTTTGTTGATATTCACCTGTGATTAAATTAGGAATAGCTGTGATGTACAGGCTTCTGCAGTTCTACACTTCAGACTCCCTAATGCACGGATCAAATATTTATCTGGTTTGGTCTTGGATTGACACGCTTCTTATCTTCAGTGACTTCTGTGTCCATGTGGATAATGGTGCTTCAGAGTTAGCTCACGAGCTCATGGCTGCCTTGACAATCATGAGCCTGTGGTGATTTCTGCCTCAATGCATGTGGGAGAACACATTTTGGATCTTGATTTTGAACTGGGATGAGTGATTTGGGGTGGACAGTATACCTTGTTCTGACTGTTACCTCCTTCCGTTTGAAGACAGGGCTCAATGTACTTTATGTGGGGTTTGTAGACCTATTTTATTGGTGACTGGCCAAGACTAGGGCTTGCAAGGGGGATGAGTAAATTGAAGCTAAATCCAGGTAAGATGGAAGTGATACTAGCTGTTTGGGGAAAGCATTGCAAAAATATGGCAGGTTAGCATCAGCCCCTAATATTGAGATTGATCTTGTCTTCCTGTAAACTTGTAGCTTCCATAGAAGGAAATATAACCATTGGCATTTGCTCCTTTATTTAACAGATCTGATAGGGAACACTTCCTACATCATTTTTGAGATTGTACTCCAGTTTGGAATACTCTATATGGTAGTTCATTGGAACGCCTGCATCCAATTCTACACTGAGAACTTACTGCAATTTCCAGTTAACTCTTGGGTTTACCAGCAGAACCTTACGGTAAGTAGAAACCAGGGACAGGAGAAGCTCAGAAGTTTATGAATGCTTTCACACATTTTAGAATGTTTTTGTGTAATAGGTTTTGGCTTATAACCACACCATCTTGTTCTGGGATTCCATCAGCTCTCACCAGGGAAGAACTGAATGAGTACTTAGATGGGAGACTTTTTAAGTTACACAATGGAACCAGAAGAACTAGTGTTTGAATCAGTAGATGGTGACCTGCCCCACTAAGAAAATATAACCAGAGTAAAATCAATGTTCTTTTATCCCAAGTCTGTGAAACATTTAAAGCTGATAATTTAACAGGCTAGTTCCAACAGCTGAAAAACAGCTGTGACAACTGCTCCACTGCCCTGTAGTGTATCATGCACATTCCAGTATGATGCACCAAGCAGCAGCAGGATTTTGTTTAGAGGGGACTCATTTACAGTGCCCCACCTAAAATTGTGTCCTAGAGCCACCACCACCCATGTTAAGGTGTCTGCAATTAACACTTGGCAGACAGTCTGTTATAAGCCTTACTTGTTTCTGTAGTGAGTGGTCAGCTAAACAGGAAATATCCTCTTCCTCAAAATCGAAAGCTATAACCTCCTATGGGAAAATTCATCCGTCCTTCCAAATTCATTAATAGAAACTCAAATGCCTTTCCACTTGCAAAGACCACTTGTATTTCAAAAAAGAGGAGAGCTTTCATTGACCTTTCTCTGGTCTCATTCTCTACATCAGTCAAGACGACAAAAAGGATGGGCAAAATATGGTTTATAAGAAGCAGGAAAAAGCTGATATTTGAGGGTCCTCAAATTTTTCTTGTGTTTTAAACTAGAAGGAGTTGAGTGGGACACTAAGTATCTGCATTAAGAATTGTTGAGGTCAAGTGGGGCGTTACACCATTTTTCTATTTTCTGTAGAGAAATTATAAAATAAGTACATAAAAATTAAGTGCTTAGAAAGCTAGTATACAAGTGGCTTTCAAACTTTTGTACTGGCAGAACAAAGGGGGCTGCCAGTCATGAGAAAGCCCCTGCTTTCCACCTAAGATGTCTGCTGGAATTAACAGGGACTGTACCAGGGGAAAGGATTGGGCCCAGACTAGGAAGGAGTCTAGTCTGTGAAAGAAGCTTATTGGAACACCTCTGAGGGTGAGATATTACCTGTAATCAGTTTCTTAATGTATTAGGCTTGGACTTGCATGTTTTTGCTTTATTTTGCTTGGTGGCTTACTTTGTTCTCTCTATTATTACTTGAAACCACTTAAATCCTACTTTTTATACTTAATAAAATCACTTTTGTTTATTAATGAACCCAGAGTAAGTGATTAATACCTGGGAGAGCAAACAGCTCTGCATATGTCTCTATCAGTGTTATAGAGGGTGAACAATTTATGAGTTTACCCTGTATAAGACTGTGGTGGGGTGGTGCCCCATCCCTATGCCAGATTGGGCTACAACAGGCCAGAGTGGCTGCACAAGGCAGCAGCCAATCAGGGAGGGCCTGTTAGAGAGCCAATCAGGGCCAGTATTACAGCCAGCCAATCAGGGCTAGGCTAGGCCCAATATAAAGGCTGCCCAGGAAGGGAGCAGGGAGTCTCTCCCTTGGCCTTCAGAGGGTGAAGGTCTGTCTCCTGTGTGAGGAGACTAGCACCAGGGACAGCGCAGTGCTGGGCAGGTGGAGGGAGCAGAAGGGAACTCCCACCCAGTACCTACCGGGCTGCAGGCCCTGAGAAAAAGGGCCTAGCTGGTGCAAAGGGGCCGAAGCAATCAGATAATGCTTCCTGGCTGTGCAGAGTCATGGGCACCAGTAATGTATAATCTGCCTTGAGATCTTCAAAGGCATATCTGAGACATGAAGGACTTCAGTGAAGTGGATGTGGAAGGGAGAGTAGGGGATTCCAGCCTACCCTACTCATGGAACTTTGACCTCAGCCCCTGAAGTCAGAGTCTGAAATATGGTGTTCATTATAAACTCCAAATTGCTTCCCCAAGACCACATTATACCTCTCAGCAACAGCATCCTCTGTCCCACAGGTATTTTTGGAGCCAAATCTGGAATGGGGTAGAGGGTTCTCATTCAAAAACCTTAACAGACCTGTATAACCCATTACAGAGGAGATCACCTTTCTCAGTGCTCTTCCCTTCAAAGCATCCTGACTCAAAGTAAGCCCATTTTTCCTTGAGGCATTTAATTCTTATTCCTCCCCAAAGCCTCAGGGAGAATGCCAAGGATGAGACTAGACAACTGATCCTTGCTACCACAATGATTAGGTGAGAAAAGGATTTTCCTTAGATCTCTTCACTTCTACCGAGGAGAAGGCAAAAGTTTGATTCTCTTCCATTGGGCCCAAGCGTCTCACTTTGATCATGCTGGATGGATGAGGTGGTCCCATTTACAATGCAAGAGACTCAGTTCTCCATGGTTGATGTTAATTCAGTTCCTTAGAATGCAGATCTTTGAGGATCTTGTCTATTCATGTCCATCTGGCCTGAAAGAGGTGTGATGAAATCCTTATTCATCTTGCCAACAATCCATATAGCCGATTCCAGTATCCACAAGTATCTAATGCCAAGGCCCACAACCAAGTATTCCTTCTTGGCTGTGAAATTCTTGGCCTCACAGTTTAACACCTCTGGATTATGAGTCTAGATGTTTGGGGATGACTGGCTGAAAGATGAACCAGTTATACGTGTTTGCCATACCTCTGTAGACACAGCACAGGTGGAACTGGGAATGAAATGCCTCTTCCCTATTTTAAAACATCCAGTATATCATGCACTAGATAAAAAAAATTCAACTGAGCAGCTTGGATCATGCTGCAGATGTTGTGCTCATGGCTCTGGTGGCCCAAAGAGGACTGAAAGCTGCTCTAAAAGGGTAACTGGGCTGGGTATTCCCCTGGCATAGAGGAGACCTCAGGTGACATAAAGCCAGCATAGCCACTCTGCACCACCAACTGCCATAACACTCGGGCCATTGTTTGTTCATATCACCTCTCTTAAAGCAATGCATTATAATTAGGTTTTAAAAATATATCTATTTAAATGTTTTACATTTCAAACTACCTGGATTTTTTTTCTCTTCCTGGAGTCTTGGACTCCACTAAAGCGCATTTACTGACCCTACCTCAGGGCCTACCCCACAAGAGCCTGACCCTACTCCCTGTGGATTCTCCTACCTGCATGAAGATCCTGCCTTTTCTACAGTCTCTCCCACACTGAGTTCCCCACTACTCTGTTTGTATAATCTTTTCCTAACACTTTCACAGCTGGGATCACTAATTATCATTAAATTGCCATGTCACCTCAGCTGGGGCCTAGCTGCTAGATCACAGGCAAGATTGAGCCTGGTTTACCTTAGAGGGCCAGCCAGCCTGTGACAGAGATGTAAAACATTTGTTCCATTTGGTGTGAAAACTGCATTCTGCTTTAATGATATTCTATCACTCGCTGCCTGTCCTTTCTATAATGGCAGATGAATGACATTCAGGAATATATTTCATACCGAAAGCTACCACAGGATTTGTGCCAACGGATTTTCACCTACTATGATATCCAGTACCCCTACTATGATATCCGGTACCAAGGAAGGTGGTACAATGAAGAGGAAATCCTCAATGAGATGTCAGAACCTCTGAAAGAGGTAAGAGAGAGAGCCTTAGGGAATGTCTACACTTGGAGTTGGGGATAATTGTCTGCTCAAAAAACATATCTGCACTAGCTCTGATACACTAGCTAGCATGCAAAAATAGAGTATAGCTGCCGTGGCAGAAGGGGCTAACTAACCCTAGTACATGCCTAGCATCTTGGACAAGTGCATATTGGAGGCGGCTAGCCCCTTGTGCATATGATGTCTATGGTCTATTTTTAGCACACTAGTTCAATCAGAGCATGGGTGTATCTTCTCAAGCAGGCAATTACACCCCCAGCTTGAAGTGTAGATGTACCCATAGTCAGCATGAAACAACTTATAGCAGTGGACAGCAACTCATGGGAGGGACACAAGAGAGGGCACCAAATAAAGGGGGGACATGTGACCCCCCCACATGACTCCTCCCCACCCTGCCCCCAGCTTGGGGGCCCTGCGCTCTCCCTTTCCCCTCCCCATTTCAGGTTACCTGCGGGGAGGGGAGGCTGTGTCCTCCCGCTGCATCAGGTACCGATTTCTGAACTGCAGGGCTGTCCTGGGAACCGCAGTGGCAAAAGGAGCAGAAAGTGGTGGCACCCAGTGACCCCATGCAGGCAGCTCCTCCAGGCACAGCTGTACTGCCCCCAGCCCTATTCTTCAGCAGGGCTGTACAGACCCCAGACAGGAGACACAGCTGTGTGGAAGGGCTGGGGGTGGTACAGTTGTGACGGAGGAGCTGCTGGATGTGGGACCGCCAGGTGGCCCCATGGTCTGCTGCTTTCGCCGCTGCTGTTCCCTGCTAAATGTGCCCCCCCCAGGCATCTGGGGAGGGGCATGTGACCCTTCTTGCGCCTCCCAGGTGTCGCCTCTGCCACTAGCATTTCAAACTGTCCCTAGGGGAGTGGTGTATGGAATACTAAACTGTATTATACTGTTCAGTGCAATATATATATATATTACATATCTTACCTGAGCTGAGACCTGCCGTCCCTCGCAGTGTATTAAAGTATCTTAAAGGGAACACATCTCGTGTATCTCTCTGGGATGGAAGCTCTGTAGCCAGTCTATATCTAGCGCAAGAGCCTGGCCTGCTCCTAGCAGTCCTGCAATCTACATGTACATGGTGTCAGAAGTAAAGGCAGCCTAACTTGTGCCAGAAGAGAACAGAAACAGAAGGAAGGCAGCAACAAAGGTCGCAAACAGAAAGGGGGGAAAAGCAAGAATGGCTGCAGAATGGATCACATCAAAATGCCTCTTTTCAATGCCCCAGAGAACTTCAGTTTTGACAGAATGGACAGACTGGAAGCAGCATTCTGCAAGATTTTGCATTGCTGTTAAACTCTACCAGGAAACTGGAGATATAAAGCTATCTTCTTTAATTTATGCTGTGGGGAAGCAGGCAGAGCATATCTTCAAATCCTTTGCCTTTACTGACAACAGTCAGTAATCTGACTGTGATAGAGTTCTGGCTATGTTTGATGCATACTTTATACCTCAGAGAAATGTGGTTTATAAAAAGGCAGTTTCACCAGAAAATTCAGGAAACAGGGGAACCTGTTTGAATCTTTTGTTAGGGCTTTGAAGGCATTGGCAGAAAACTGATTTTGGAACTGTAAAACATTAAAATATCAGAAATAGATTGACTATTGACCATATAGACAAAAGTCTCTCATAGCAGCTCCAGTTTTAAAAACAGACTTGGTATTGTTTCATATTCTCTGTGTGTATATAAAGTCTGCTGCAGTTTCCACGGTATGCATCCGATGAAGTGGGCTGTAGCTCACGAAAGCTCATGCTCAAATAAATTGGTTAGTCTCTAAGGTGCCACAAGTACTCCTTTTCTTTTTGCGAATACAAACTAACACGGCTGTTACTCTGAAACCACACGCAGCTATTCAAATAGCAAAGCAGTGTGAACTTATGAAACAGCAAGACAAACCTGAAAAACCATCTCTAAACAGGCACAGCATGAGTTCTAAAAGTTATTATTATACAACCACTGAGGCAAGGAGAGAGAACTCTCAGGCTAACTGCAATGCCTTTCAGACTAAATGCCGAAGAGATGTATGTCAGCCAAAGGTGCAAGATGTAATAAATGCACAAAATATGGACATTTTTCAGCTGTTTCTCACATTAAGGCAGACAGGGAGCCATTGTTTCTGGGACCTGTCATGTGTGATAAAACAGAGCCTGCCTGGAGTCTTTCATGGAAAGACTATTGACTTTAAAATGGACTCAGGAGCAGACTCAGAAGGGAGTTACAATCACCTTCAACTCTTCCCAGAGCTGAAATCACAGGACACAGCCCTGACTAGCCCTGGAGGTATTCTGAACTGTATGAGCCTGTTCACCACAGAAACAACCTACACAGACAAAATCTTTGCACTTGGAGTGTATGTGATCAAAGGATCAAAAACCCACAGCTTCACAGCTGCAGCTTGACAGCCATGATGGGCCAAGTGAGAAAGGTGGAAGAACTCTATGAAGCAGTTGGTGATACTGAACTATTGAAAAGAGATCCAGTACAAATAACCTTAAGAGACAAGGCTGAACCATATAGTGTACATATACCTGGCAGGATTCTGATCCTGTTGCTTTGTAAAGTGGAAACTGAGTTAAAGAGAATGGAACAGATTGGCATAACCAAGATCATCTCTGAGCCAGTAGCATGGTGTGCCCCATTAGTACTGGTTATACAGAAAAATGGAAAAATATGTGTGGATCTTAAGACTTAATGAAGCAGTTATGAGAGAAAAATATATCCTCCCAATACTGAATGACTTCATCCCCAAAGTGAAAGGAGCTACAGTATTTTCCAAGATGGATGCCTCAAGCAGATTCTGGCAAATTCCTTTAGCCAAAGAGAGGGCTAAACTGATTACACTTCCTTGGGAGATTTTGCTTTTAAAGATTACCTTTCAGGATTACCAGTGCCCGACAAATCCAGGCTAGAGAGAAAAGGCATGGAAAGGGGGTAAGTTTGGTTTAATTATTGTAATACATTGTTATGTTATATTTTTAATTGTAAGTACGGTTTTATGTTTATTCCCACTAAAATGTATCTTTCTTAAATAAACTTTGACTATCTCTGAATTGTTAATTCTGTGAGCATTCATGGCCCGCCATACTATTTTCATACCCAGGTGTGGACCTCACACCAAAAACTTTGCCCACCCTGGTCTAGACTGAAGCTAAACTGGAAAAAGAACATTTTCCACCTACCCCAAATACAGTGTTTGGGACTGGCAATAAACAAAGATGGAATCAGTGGTAGCCTCGAGAAAGTAACACCAATTTGAGAATTGAAAGGACCAACTAATGTACCAAAACTGAGACATATATTAAGGATGGTAAATTATCTTGGTTGATACCTACAAGACATTTTTACAGTGACAAAAAACACTGAATGAACTATTTAAGTCCAATATATTGTGGCTATGGGGACCAAATCAAGAAATTGCCTTCAAAAAGGTAAATGAAATTATCTCAACAGCTCCAGTTTTCAAGTGCTATGATGTGAACAAACCACAATGGTGAGTGAGGCAGCTTGGCCTAGGTGGTGTATTGTTACAACAACATAGCTCCGAGTGGAAGCCAGTTGCATTTTGCTCTCGCACACTCTCAGAAGCAGAAAAATGGCATGCACAGATTGAAAAGGGGTGCCTGGCAAGCGTATGGGCATGTGAGAACTTTTACAGATGTCTGTGATTCTTTTACACTGATAACAGACCATAAATTGCTTGTGACTCATCAATGGAAAAGACCTGGATGAAGCACTGTTGAGATGCCAGTGTCTATTGATAAGATTAATGCAATTCAACCCAATTGTTAAATGTGTTCCTGGGAAAAATCTGGTAGTAGCAGATACCCTGTCATGAATACCAGCATCATACTTGACTACCTGTGAGCTCAAAGATGATGTACAGGCATACGTGGATGCTGTGGACATATAGAGACCAGTGTTAGACTACTCCAACTACTAAAAGCAACCCTGATAGACACATAACTTCAAGAAGTTTTAAGTTACATTAGGGCTAGCTGGCCCAAGTATCTAAAGGACACAAAGGAAGTGACGAGAGATTACTTTGAGGTATGTGGATAATTGAGTCAAATTGGCCATGAATAAAGATGATTGCATCATAATTCCAAATGAAATGAGAAGAGAAATCCTAACCCTCATCCATGAAGGATATTAAGATTAACTAAGGCCATGTCTACACTAGCACTTATGTCGGCAATATTTTCATCACTTAGGGGTGTGAAAAAACCACACCCCAAGCAACATAAGTTTTGCTGGCATAAGCACAACACTGTGTTGGTGGGAGAGCTCTCTTCGTCAGCATAATGCAGTTACACGAGCGCTCTTACAGCGACACAGCTGTATGGGTAGAGCTGTGCTGCTGTAAGCTTGTAAATGTAGACCTGGCCATAATGTCATGAACAGGCCACCCAGTCAGGGTAGTGGCCAGGTATCAGCAAGGACATAAAGAACAAAGCATCTGCATAGAACATTGCAGAACTAACAGACCAACACTATGCAAAGAACCTGTAATAACAACACCTCCACCAGACAGATCTTGGAAGAGATTAGCTACAGGTTTATGCAAATTCAGAGGACATCATTATCTGGTTGTAGTGAACTATTTTTCCAGGTATATAGAAATAATGTACTTGAAAGACATAATATGTTGTAGTGTTATTGAGAAACTGAAGTACACTTTTTTAAATTTTGGTATTCCAGAACAACTAGTGACAAACAACAGGTGGAAACTGTCATTCTGAGCAAAATATGATTTTGATCATATTACTAGCAGCCCACATTACCCACAAATGAGTGGAGAGGTTGAGAGAGCTATATAAACTGCCAAGAAAATCCTACAGAAGAAAGATCCATTCCTTGCTCTTCTGAGCTATGGATCAACAGCAATAGCAGCTATTGGATGTAGTCCAGCACAACTCCTGATGGGAAGACAACTCAGAACTACTGTTCTGACTTTGGAAACTGCCAGATATGGTATCTCCAAAGTGGCCAGACATGAAGTGAGTAGCCAAATCTGATAAAAAGGCAAAAAGAGCTTACAGATATTTTTGTAACAAATGTCTCAGTTAAAGAATTGACTATTCAGGACCTGGTCACCATCTTTGTGTCAAACTGGATGGAGAAAAAGAATGGACAGATCCAGCTGTTGTAAAGAAAAATAATTCATCGTCTGGATCATATGTGAGTGAGACTGATAGTGGAGAGTTCAACAGAAATTATCAACGTCTACAGTTTGTTCCTCAGAAGGAACAAGCGATGGAGCAAACTCTACAGATGGTGGAGCAAAATGAGAAGAAGAAGGTGCAAGGATTCCAAATGACCAGAGACAACCAAGTTTTTATGCGCTGGGTTGTGTAATTAGAAAACCAGTATGATTTAGAGACACTTAACAGAGTGATACGTACTGAACTTTAAAGATGATAATGTACATTTTAAAAAATGTTGTAAGTGGTAGGAATGTAAAACTTAAAGGGGGAGATGTAAAGACATGCTAAACTGTATTATACTGTCCACCCACTAGGTGGTGCTGTGTGTAACATACCCTACCTGAGCTGAGAACAGTCATTCCTGGTAATGTATTAAAATATCTGATTTGTTTTGCATACCTCAACTTTCACCTCACTTAAAAACTACTTGCTTACAAAATCAGACATAAAAATAAAAAGGTGTCACAGCACACTATTACTGAAATATTGCTTACTTTCTCATTTTTACTATGCAATCATAAAATAAATTGGAATATAAATATTGTACTTACATTTCAGTGTACCCAAGCCCTGCCAACCAGGGCTGAAGCATGTAACTTAGCTTCATGGGGCCCCCTGTGGCTTCGTGGGGCCCTGGACAATAGCTCTGCTTGCCACTTCCTATCACCGGCTCTGCACTTGTGACCCCCCTAAACCCAATGTGCAACCCCCCTGGCGGGTCGTGACTCCCAGGTTGAGACACACTGAACTAGACTAGATGAGCTGATATACTCCCTGGAAGACCTCTGCATACCCCCAGGGATACATGTACCCCCTGGTTGAGAACCACTGCATTAAACCCTTCAGTAAATGTTTGTCTATATGGAGGTGTGTGTAAAGTACAGAGATTCAAGTAAATCAGACTGACAATCAGGGTTCGTTCACCTCAAGGGGAGGACAGAAAGTTTAAGTCCCCAAACGAGCAGTTGAACCAACTCATTGCAGTCTAATAGCCTAAATAATAAGTAATTTACTACATTCCAAACCATAAAAAAACAGTTATAAGTATTTGATTAAAATACTTACAAAAGGGCTAAAATCAGGGGTGCTTAGATCCATATTGGTCACCTCTAACTTGGTCAGACAGGTATTAGCAATGAACCCTCCAAGAATTCACCCTTTTATACCTTTTAATAAACAAGTGATGTGATTGCCTCTTACTAACTTAGCTAACAAAACACGTTTTGGCCAGTTTGGGAACATTGCTGGTTCAAGGTGCACAATCCTTTCTCATTATTAACTACCTCTGACAATTGGGGCTGCTTCATCCTTCTGTTTTATCCCATCAGGTCCAGCATTCCCAATTAAGCAATTTTCTTTCAAGGCCTTCCCACGACTTCTAACAGACCTGCACTTTCCATGGCCTTACTAAAACATGTATTTTTACTTTTTACACTAACTTAACCCTTTATTTCCTACACTAGCTTATCTGACCATTTGCTTTTGCATTATCTATTCAGGAGGTGAAGCACCATCTCTGTGCCAGGCTGGTGAAGAAAGTGTCACTGTTCCAGCATTGTGATCTGAACTTCCTGAATGCAGTGATTATGCATCTCAATATTGAACTGTTCCAGCCTACAGAGGTAATCATAGTAGAGGGCTCCTATGGAGATAGGATGTACTTCCTTGAATATGGGAGAGTCCTCATAGAGAGCAAGTCCATGACAAAATAATTGAAGGCTGGAGATTACTTTGGAGGTTTTTCTGCCTGTTTTGATAATGGTTTTCCTAGCGTTAGCCTAGAGCAGATGAGACACCAAAATTCTGCCCAACCAGTGGCCATATTTTCCATTTGTCAGAAGCCCAAGGGAAGCAGCTAATATTCAGGTGCACCTTCATTTTAAAAGAAAGATGCTGCCCTCTGAGATTTCTGGTCTCAGCCTATAATATTCCATTTCAAACAGAAAGGGTTTACTCTTGGATTAGAACGGTGCATTGCAATGCTGGGACCAGTATTCTGAGGTCTACAACCCCCACATGAGGACATCTTTGGGCCATAATGTAGGTCTCCTCATCTGCCTTTGCCCTGCAATGGGGCAGAGACTGCTTGGCCTCATTACATATTGACCCTAGAATCCTAAATAGATGCACATAAATTGCTACATTGCTGTGGGCAGAGAAAACAGTCTTGAGCTTAAAGGGGCAATGTCAACTGAAATCTAGTAAATTACAAAATAATTAGTTACAGGAAGTTTTTGGTTTTATTTCTGTCCCTGAATCCCTTGGACAATTATCGTGATTTTTTAGTTTCAGCAAAAATGGTTCAGCCATGTTGCTTTGCCCATGTTAACAAAATCATTGTAAGGAACCCCCTCCACACACACACTTTTTTTTTTAGACACTCTAACATCTTCATGCTTTGGAGCAGGGACTTGAAATTTGGCAAGAGCGGTTACCCTAGTGTTAGGGATGTGCCTTTGCTGGACCCATGAAAAATGATCCAAATTTGGCCAAGTTTTGAGCCTTCTGAAAAGCTGCAATTTGTATATTCTCAATAGAGACTTGTTAGAGTTTGGCTGCTACATTGTCTGGAGATTCCCTCTCCGCTCAGCACGCTTCAGCCTCTCACAGCCCCTAGTGCCTACCAGACTGCACATGCACCATCCCCACAGCATGCTCCATCCCAGGGCTGCATGTGTGGGCTGAACAGGACTTTCCCTGTGGTTGCTGCTCCAGGTTGCTGTTGTGCCAGGTACCAGAACTGAGAACAGGGAGAACCTTAATTCCTTCCTCACATCTTTCTGTGCAGAGATCTTCCTGTTTAAGGAGTGTGCTCGGAGTATGAGTGTCACAGCTCCCACCATGTGCCGTTTGTTCTCACTGTCTGGTGATAAATTGAAGGAGTTGCTGGAGGCATATCCAGAGAAAGGAGAGGAGATTACAAAGTGCACCATCCATGATTGTGAAAGCCTGATGGGTGAGCCTTGTGTCAGAGCTCCCTGTCAGTAGAAGCAGGAGAAGGAAATAGTGTTAGGGCCCATCTGTCTGACTATTGCCCCCCACCTTTTGGTGGGGAGTAACTCCTTAAGTGTGCTAGATTCCAAGGATCAATACTTTTTACAAGGAGAAAAGGAGTACTTGTGGCACCTTAGAGACTAACCAATTTATTTGAGCATGAGCTTTCGTGAGCTACAGCTCACTTCATCGGATGCATACCATGGAAACTGCAGCAGACATTATATACACACAGAGATCATGAAACAATACCTCCTCCCACCCCACTGTCCTGCTGATAATAGCTTATCTAAAGTGATCATCAAGTTGGGCCATTTCCAGCACAAATCCAGGTTTTCTCACCCTCCACCCCCCCACACACAAACTCACTCTCCTGCTGGTAATAGCCCATCCAAAGTGACAACTCTCTTCACAATGTGCATGATAATCAAGGTGGGCCATTTCCTGCACAAATCCAGGTTCTCTCACCCCCTCACCCACCTTGATTATCATGCACATTGTGAAGAGAGTTGTCACTTTGGATGGGCTATTACCAGCAGGAGAGTGAGTTTGTGTGTGTGGGGGGTGGAGGGTGAGAAAACCTGGATTTGTGCTGGAAATGGCCCAACTTGATGATCACTTTAGATAAGCTATTACCAGCGGGAGAGTGGGGTGGGAGGAGGTATTGTTTCATGATCTCTGTGTGTATATAATGTCTGCTGCAGTTTCCATGGTATGCATCCGATGAAGTGAGCTGTAGCTCACGAAAGCTCATGCTCAAATAAATTTGTTAGTCTCTAAGGTGCCACAAGTACTCCTTTTCTTTTTGCGAATACAGACTAACACAGCTGTTACTCTGAAACTTTTTACAAGGGTGAGCTGTGTAGCTTTCCCACTGCAACACTGGGCCTTCAGGCTCCAGCACCTCTGTGTCTCACCGTGAGCTCTCACAGCATGTCCATCTTAGGCCATCTCTATACTAACACTTCTGTCAGCAAAATGTCGTTCAGGGGTTTGAAAAAACACACCTCCGAGTGACATAAATTTCACTGGCATAAGTGGTAGAGCGTGCATAGCTACCGCTACTCACTGAGGTGGTTTTATGATGTCAGTGGGAGAGCTCTCTCACATCGGCATAGAGCGGCTACACAAGTGATCTTACAGCAGCGCTGCTGTAAGCTCACCAGTGTAGACATTGTGTAGATCAATGTGATGGATTTGCTCAGTACGGGACTACCACTCCCGTCAGCCCACTTCCCATTGCGCTTCCCTTTCCTCTGGCCAGGTAAGGAGAAAGGTCCTGAGCCAGAAGTGGCCAGGCTCTGTTTTGGGAGGGGTAGCACATGGCAAGGGGAGCTGCAAGGAAGCTGAAGCAGCAATCACATGGGAGCAGGAGAGAGACTGGAAACAGGAATGAATGCAGAGCCACATGGGGAACAGGCTGTGACTACTGGACATCACAGCTAGGTTCAGCTCAGTGTGGGATTTATGGGGTAGTAGCAGCAGCTGGTCAGAGAGCCAGTGTAGTGGGGCCTGGTGAAAGATACTAACTGAGCCTGGCTTGGAAACCTGCAAAATTCCAATTTACTTTGAATAGAGACTGGACTCGATAGGGCACTCCAGGCAGTACGCCTGAAGAGCCCTGACTCTCAGTTGGACTGCCACAGGGATCCAAACAGGAACCACTCTTGCACATTTTGAATGGTAACTGTTTAGGCATCTGTACCTAGGGTATTTACCACCTTTCTCACCAGCCCTAGTAAAATAACCTTTTCCTTAGCCATGTCTCTGAGTGGCTATTGGGATCCACCAGCCTACAAGGCCTACCTGCCAAAGCATTGACAGTGCTTGCCTCTGAGTTGTGGTACACCTGGCAAGCTATTGGCACCCTAGGGATTTGGTGTACTCAGCAGTAATTACACATGCTCCTGAGAGAGGCTTTACCTTCTCTGGAAGCAACGCAACCCAGCAAGTACCTGCAGCAACACAGATACCGTTTCAAAACAAGGCAGCATTTATTAGTCAACTGGAAATCAGCACCGGAGAAAACTTTAGGTTTTCATGGAGAAGCAAAGCTTAAGACAGTGTGCACGCTGGCAGAAGCAATCGCCCCCTTATTCCATGTCTTCCTCACATCCATCTGGTCTCCCTGTCTCTATGGGCTACGGGTGCTACAGCGGCACAGCTCTAGTGCTTCAATTATGCCGCTGTGGTACTGTGGTGTAGATGCTTCCTACATTGATGGAAGAGGCTTTTCCCACTGATGTAGGTAATCCACCTTCCCAAGTGGCAGTAGCTAGGTCAGCGGAAGAATGTTTCCCTCAACCGAGCTACCGTCACTCGGGGAGGTAGAGCTTCTGCAGCGACAGAAACACCCTTCTGCCTCTGTACTCTGCACTTGCGTGGTGGGGTGACAGTGGCATGGCTTCGGCGCTGTAGTAGCTGTGCCGCTGTAGCCTCTGTCGAGTGTAGAAATGGTCTGAGGCACACACATGGATTCTAAATGTGTTACTGAAAGTTCCCACATTCATCATTCCATCCGGGCTACAGGTTCAACTGTATGCAGTACAGCGTGTGACACTCTCATTTGAGCCAGTTACAACAAACACAGCTGAATTTTGCCCACACAACAGCTTTTCCACAACAGAAACGTGTGCCAGACAACATCCCGCCCACCGTGGTGCCAGGCCACATTTCCTTTAGTGCATTCTGGGATATCTGGACAGCTAGCATATAGTGCCTCATCAGGGGATATGGTTCCCAAAGGACATGCATGCAGAGCAGCACCAACAGCCCACTGGGCAATGACCTCTGGGATGTTTGACTGCACAGAATGCTAGAAGGAGGGAAGGCCAAACTGTTTACACAGGCATGGCTGGGGGTCCCATCTACACTACAAAACAATGTGCTGAACTGGTTACATATAGACAAATGTGTATCCTCCTAGGCTACTAACAGGGTGCAACACTTAGCTCCTACGGTTACTGAGTAGTAACTCTGTTGTATGACAGAGCTGACTGATTACAAATTCTGTTAAAAGCTGTCATGCCAAAAGGGGCTTTGTGTTTTTAAACGGAAGGCATTGCATGTGACTGCCCTGGAAGCAGATGGCTGTACAGAGGAAAGTTTTGCTGTCGTCAGTAGTTTCTATAACTTAGCATTGGCTAAGTCAGCACACGATTCACAGTTCCTCTGAAATAGAGAAATGGACACAGGAAATCCGTTGGTTTTCCACTTTTCATGACTCGAACGAATAAGAGTTACAGGCTTCTGCAACTCTTCTGATAAGAGCAGGAGCCCTGAAGTGAATTAACCACAGAGTGATCAGACAGCTGTGGTGTCTCTTCATTTTACCATTACATTAAATAAGCATGTACACCAAAAGACTGCTTTCCCCCCAGGTACAGTACTAACTCAGCAACATTTTTTCCTCTGAACTCAACACTAATTCTAAACTGAAGACTGGACTGGGGGAAGGAGAAGACACTCAGGAGCTATAACATGTCTGTCTGGGGTTGTCTTGTAACATAAGCAGAGCCAGACCTGGTCAGTATTTTAAAGAGAGACTTCCATATAAAACCCCAGGTAGCACAGAAATTGTTGTTGATGATGCCAGAGATGGCAACCTTCCCCCTGAGTACTAATCTAATGGCCCTAGAGTAGCAGCCGTGTTAGTCTGTATCCGTAAAAAGAAAAGGAGTACTTGTGGCACCTTAGAGTCTAACAAATAAATTTGTTAGTCTCTAAGGTGCCACAAGTACTCCTTTTCTTTCTAATGGTCCTAATGAATGATCTTTGATTAGTGGTCCCAAAGAAAGCAAAAGGTCCTTGCCAATAAAATACGGAATAGTCCTTTCAGAACCCAAACTCATGGTTCCTGGGTAAAGATCACCAGAGTTAAGTATCTAATCCCATTTTATAGCCTGTGATACCATTTGTGTCCTTGTCTATTTTTAACTTAAATCTTAATTGGATGAGTTCTGCTGTAAACCAGGCAGTGCTTTTATAGAACTGTGATCTAAAGTGGCTCTGAGGGTTATGGTTCAAGGTTGCCATCTGCCAGCTGAAAAGAGGGATAATTCCAGGTCCAGCTCTTTATTGCTCTTGTAAAATGTATCTGTTTTCCCATCATGGATTCCACACCAGATAATTTTATTCTACCAGTTACAATATCACTGCTAGTAGCAATCTTGGGGCTGGTGTCACTGCCAGTAGCAATCTTAGCATGTATATGTGAAGGGTGTTTAACCAGATTGATTTCATGCATGTTATTTAACTCACAGCAAGTAACCTGCACTAATAGCATGCACATGGGATGGCTATGCCTCTTTCAATTTGCATCACTGTGTTCACATGGTAGCAGCTTGCTGCTTAGAGAGTATCCTATGCTCTTTTGCATCACTGCTGTGCACTGTGCATTTCTCACTCTGCATTGTGGGATGCATAGCAGAAGCCCCGAGTTTCACATTTTTAAATACCCCATGTTTCCGCTGTCTCCACCCCGTGCTTCCTTTCTAGGCAGACTAACAACGTTTTTGAATTCCTGTCAGCCAGCATGGACGCAGCAGTGCCCTACAGCACTGTGCTGGCAACCACAAATACACAGAGGCTGTTTGGGCTATATTCAACACTCAAAGTTGGATGAAACTCAGCATTGGACTTCACCCGACACACCACCAAGCAGATGACATTGTCGTGGCAGCAGCTCTTCCAGCAGCTTCAGTGGCAATGGAGGGACAAGGACAAGGAAGAAGAGGAGACCACCAAGCAACTGATACTAGAGAAGCGGTTCCTGGATGAACTACACAGTGTTCAGTGTTGTTCTTCAAGTGATTACACATGTCCGTTCTACTGTCGATGCGTGCACGCCAAGTGCAGTTATTAGAGATTTCCCCCTCAGCAGTACCCATCAGGGCAGTGTGAGTGTCCTTTACTGCCTCATATCACTGTATGCAGATATAAAGGCAGAGCCTCCCCCGTCCCCTCTCAGTTCCTTCCTACCACCCATGATGTTGGAGCTGCTGTCCTTGCATTTGCAGTCCCACCCTCTTTGTTGTAGTACCTGTTCTGTTAGTTTTAGGCTAGTTTAGAGTTTTTGTACATAGTTTAAGATATAAGATTAAGTTTAGATTAGTACTTAATAGCATGGATTCGCCAGTTCCCATTTTGGTACTGGTACCAAACTCATGCCTTGTTTTCCAGGCTTCAAGTCTTGTCACTCATGTAACAAGTCCATGCCAGTGAGTGACCCAAACCCCAGCTGCCTAAGTGTGAGGCAGATGTGAGTGACAAATGTCACATTTGTAGGGGATTCAAACCTCTCTCAAAGACAGTGCAGCCATACTCAAATATCTGCTGATGGAATCTGTGCTCCTCCCACCATCACAGCCTTTGTAGGGGTAGGATTTTATATTTGTATTAAAGGTCATAGTTTATCCTGCCAGCCACCCTTTTTGAATAGCAGAAAGGAATGACCCTCTGGGGCATTGGTTTTAGGATAAGTTGTATTATAAAAGATGGGGTCTTACAAAAATCAGGAGTCCACATATTCACTTATCTAGATGATTGGCCAGTAAGAGGCTGGTCTAGGTCTCCGGTACTGTCCAGCATAGCCACCATACAGTCCACCTTCAGTGCTCTGGGGCTTCTAAGCAATACAGTGAACTATAACCTACTCCTGTACAGACAATAGAATTTATTGGGGCAGCCCTGGACTCCTACAAAGGCCAGGGCTTTCCTGCTAGGGTTAAGATTCCAAGCAATGCGGGTCATTGCTCTAGATCTAAACACACATTCTGTCACTACAGTGTGAAATTGCCTCAAGCTTCTAGGGCACATGGTAGCATGTGCTTAGATAGTACAGGATGCCAGGCTGTGCTTCAGGGAGCTAGCTTTGGCGTACTCACCAGCTCATCATCATATGGACATGGTGGTTCAAGTGACAGCCTGGACTGGTGGAGAGAACTCTTGAATGTTTGTGAGGGAGTCCCCTTTGGTGCTCTACAACAGACACTCACCTTTGTCACAGATGCATTGGTTCTAGGCTGGGGAGCTCACTTAGGTCCCTAACAGGCACAAGGTCTTTGGTCTATTCAAGATCTAAAGCTCCATATAAATGTAAGGGAGCTTCGGGCCATCTGTTTGGCTTGCATGGTGTTCCTTCCACATATCAAGAGGCAGAATGTGTTGGTGCTTACAGACAACACAGCAGCCATCTTCTGTGTAAACAAATGGAGGGCCTAGTTGACAAAGTTATGCCAAGAAGTGTTTCTGCTTTGGAATTTCTGCATCACCAGTTCCATCATCCTGAAAGCTGCTTACCTTCCAGGGGCTCAGAATGCTCTGGTAGATCACTTAATCAGGTCATTCACAAGTCACCACAAGTGGTCCCTTCATCCAGATGTGACCACATCCATTTCCCAGCTGTGGGGAATCCCCCAAGTGAACCTGTTTGCAAAATGAGCATACAAAAATGTTATCTTTTTTGTTCCTGAGCAGGCCACACCCTGGGTTTGTTGACAGATGCCTTCATGCCACCCTGGTCGAAGAGCCTGCTGTATGCATTCCCTCCAACTCCACTCCTGCCCAAGGTCTTGTCAAGAGTCAAAGAGCCCTCCACCCGACAGCTTGGATTCTTTCTGGCCAACATCCTTGGAAGGAGGTTGTTCTAAGGAAGTTCAGGAAGTTCTAAATAGTAGAAAGCCTTCAACTAAGACTCTTTACCTTGCTAAATGGACAAGTGTGATGGGGCGTCTGCCCCACACTGGCCTGTAAGGGGTTAATGGAGTCCTAGGGAGGCCGCGCAGAAAGCAGCCAATAGGAGAGGGGCTGCGAGGAGCAGCCCATTAGGGCCAGGCAGGCCTATATAAGAAGAGCTGCACAGCAGAGCAGGTTCAGTTGCTCCCTGGAGCTTGAGGAGGGCTCAATGGCTGCCTTGCAGGAGGAAGAAAGCTAGCACCCTGGACAGATCAGTGCTGGGCAGGATCAGGGGAGTGAGAGCGAGTTCCTGGCTGCATGCTAAGACTGGCATGCTGAGGCCCTGAGATAAGGGTGCAGAAGGTGCTAGGGCCATGGGGAAGTGGTCCAGGGAAAGATACTGAGAGATTAGAGGGAAAGCAGCATAGGGCTGCCATCTACAAGGTCCCTGGACCAGGACCTGGAGTAGTAGGTGGGTGCAGGTTGTCACCCCCCAACACACTCACTCGCCACTGAGGAAGTGGCTGGACCAGTGGACTGTGATACTGTCCCCCGGAAAGGGGGAGCACAGAGTATGGCACAGCTGAGGGCTGTGTCCTGAAGAGGATGCTGCAGTCCTTGGAGTGTCCCGGAGCAGAAGCGATAGCAGGCGCGACACCACCTCCAATAGAAAATTGAAAAACAGCCAGGGCAATAGTGTCAGGGATGCCTGTTGCTCTTACTTTGAGTGCCAGGCCTGAAAATATGCAGCTGAATTATTTAAAATTTATGACTTTTCTGGGTAAAATGCATTGATGACTATGAAAGAATTTTTAATTGTTTCTATTATTAAACAGTCTATTATGTAGCAGTCAGAAAGAAACCTTTAATTAAACAATAATGAAGCAAAAATTCAAAGTGACACAGTGCAGTGGAGAGTAGAACACAACAAGGGGAGTGGGGATTCAAGTCACAGGTGAGTATATGCCTGGACACTGCCTCTTCTTGTTCTTGGGCCTTCTGGTGTTGACTGGCGACACTCAAAGTTATCAGAGGCATTAGATGGCTGAAAAGAGCTGGGGTCCCAGTTGTTCTCACTGGCCTGAGCAGAGCATTCTGGCTCTGTACTGCCTCCAGGAGTTGCCTCTGCATCTCCCATTTCCACTTATCCCAGCATCCCTGGTTTTAATGTACATTCTCCCGAGCTGTTTGCTCTTTCACCTGCATTGGTCAGCATCATGGTTGTCCCCTTGTAGACATCTGCTTAACAATGTCCACAAAAAGAACTTTATTCCATTGTCTGGCCACAAGAGCTTCCTGCACTGATGTTTCTCAGCAGATGATGATGAAGATCTAGGGTCTCAGGATGGCTCCAGGAGGCTGCTTGAGGTATGTGGGCTTCTGGAGTACTATTGCAGCCATGCTGATATACTCAAATCCCGGAGCAAATGGGCCAATTTTGGCTACGCTGCAGTTTTTAAACAGGGGAGGGGACATCCAGTCAACTTGATACCGGAGCAGTGGAGGGCATGCAGGTAAACTAATGGGTGGCTGCAAAGCTGTGTGGGATAGCAGTTGGAAGACTGCCAAAGCAGTGTGCAGCAGCTTTGCATGAACACAAACAATAGACTGAACTACTACTCACATCTCATCTCTCATAAATATAAAGGGAAGGGTAAACACCTTTAAAATCCCTCCTGGCCAGAGGAAAAACCCTTTCACCTGTAAAGGGTTGAGAAGCTAGGATAACCTCGCTGGCAGCTGACCAAAATGACCAATGAGGAGACAAGATACTTTCAAAGCTGGAGGAGGGGGAGAAACAAAGGCTCTCTCTGTCTGTGTGATGCTTTTGCTGGGAACAGAAAAGGAATGGAGTCTTAGAACTTAGTAAGTAATCTAGCTAGATATGCGTTAGATTATGATTTCTTTAAATGGCTGAGAAAATAAACTGGGCTGAATGGAATGGATATTCCTGTTTTTGTGTCTTTTTGTAACTTAAGGTTTTGCCTAGAGGGATTCTCTATGTTTTGAATCTGTTTACCCTGTAAGGTATTTACCATCCTGATTTTACAGAGGTGATTCTTTTAATTTTTTTCTTCAATTAAAATTCTTCTTTTAAGAACCTGATTGTTTTTTCATTGTTCTTAAGATCCAAGGGTTTGGGTCTGTGTTCACCTATGCAAATTGGTGAGGATTTTTATCAAGCCTTCCCCAGGAAAGGGGGTGTAGGGTTTGGGGAGGATTTGGGGCGGGGCGGGGGGAAGATGTTTCCAAGCGGGCTCTTTCCCTATTATATATTTGTTAGACGCTTGGTGGTGGCAGCAATAAAGTCCAAGGGCAAAAGGTAAAATAGTTTGTACCTTGGGGAAGTTTTAACCTAAGCTGGTAAAAATAAGTTTAGGAGGTTTTCATGCAGGTCCCCACATCTGTACCCTAGAGTTCAGAGTGGAGAAGGAACCTTGACATCATCAAACTTAGTGCACTTTGAAATAGGATTCCAGAGTTTGTGATAAATATGGAGTTAGTGTACTATAATGAATTGTATCATGTGTATGCAAGCACTAGATTAGTTACTAGTCCAGTTGACTTAGTCTAGTTTAAACCCCCTGTGTAGACAAACTCTTGGTTTGCTTGAGTGTCTTAAAATCTCTCTCAATCATGTTTTGCAGAACTTGAAGTTGTGCAACAGAATAAAACATAATAGCCATGACAAACTGTAGGAGCTGAAGATGAAGAGGAGCCAAAAAGGAATAGTCAGTGTCTTCAGATGCAAGAGCCATTCCACTGCTGCTATGTCACAGATTTCAGCTGCTGGGATGTGTGAAGGAATGAACCAGTGCATCTCACATCTCAAAGGTTTTTGAGATCAAGTCAGTCTCTGGGACGAATTGTCTTTTGAGTTCAGCTCTGCAAGGTGATTATCCTCATACATCTCTGTTGCATTTCTGCATTTGTTCAGCATATGCAGTTGTGTTATCCACTGGGCAATTTTGAGAGGAGAATTAAGCAATGAAGCAGAAAACAGAGCTCTTTTTAGGCGGTTTCTTTCACCTCAAGTCAGGTCAGGTTCTAACTTACTGTCTTTAAAATACCTAATCACCTTGCCTTTGTCTTCTCTGCTGACATTTATATAAATGGACCCTCTCATCCTTTCCGTATTGAACTAAGGATACAATTTTCAGAGGTGCGTAAGGGAGTTGGGGAGCCTAACTCCCATTTTCAAAAGTAATGTAAGTGTTTGAAGGTCAGTGGGACTTAAGTTCCTAAGGGCCAGAGTTTTATAGGTATTTAGGCACCTAAAGATACAGATGGGTGCTTAGTGGGACTTTGAAAATTCCCAGGGTGTTAGGGGCCTCAGCACTTGTGAAAATCCCATTAAATGTCTATCTGTATCTTTAGGTGCCTGAATGCCTTTACAAAGCTGGCCTCAACTCACTTTTGAAAAATGTACCCTAAATCTTCAACTCAGGCCCATATCCAGATTATATTGAGTTGGATTTTAAATACCATTGCCCAGTGTACTATTTCCTCCAATAACTGAGAGCTTGTTGAATTCGGTTTTCCCTATATATGGTTAACTCCACAAAGTTCATGTATGCAGGGGGGAAATCTTTTAGTCAAACTCTGCTGTATGGACCAGAGAGCACCGAATTTTGCCTGGAACTTGTGTGAAGCTCTCGGAGCCACAGAAATAACCTCCCTTAGAACTCCAAACTTTCCAGTGTGGTGGCCAGAGGAGTGAGAATGCTTATTGTCTCTGTGTGATGGAAGGTGATGTGACTGAGATTAGTGCAGCTTCTGAAATGGATGTTTCACAGCATGTTCAGTGTCACTGTATCTATAGTGTTACTAGAAACAAAAATATTTTTGTACTGACGATAACTAACTCAAATAAAATACAAAGTTTAAGTAAATATCAGAGTCCATCTAGATCCCTGACAGATCAACAGTAAAAATTAGCTCTTTGTAACATATCAGAAAAAGTGATTAGATGAGTGAAAAGTGATGGGATGTCGATGTTGGGGGGCAGGGTTGTGTCTGTCTGAATGGGGGGGTTACAGTATGTTTTGGGACATGGAGGGGGGGACTTAAGAATGAGTGAATTTAACATGGTTTGAAAGCATCAAGAAGAACCAGACGACTCTCTCTCCCTGTGAAGAGTGTCATACTGCAGGGTGGCCATCTGGTAAAGGCAAGTACAAAAGTGATTGATAGGAAAACAAATAAGGCTGGCGAGAAGTTAGGGATTGTGGCTGCACAGTAGTTTCCCCAAGTAGTTGATACATGCTCTCTCCAGAGCTCTTCCTCTGTGAGCACTCCAATTGATAGTTTAACTCTTCAGGGACCATATGAAAATTCAAGCCTTACAAAGGAACTTAAACACACAGCCACTTTAATCTCAGAGAGCACACAAGAGTATTAAAGATCTATGGAAAAGCAACAAATACCTGAGTGCAATTCTCTCCACTCCTGATTTTGGTCAGTGTTCTTCAGGGAGGCCATGCCAAGCCCACTTTTCCTGCTGGGTCTTCTATCTCTGGTAATGCTCTGGCTCTCCTTGCAAGTGACTATGTCATATTTAAAAGCCACTTTTGACACCTTTTCCTCCTTCTCTTCTTACAGTGGGATTTTCCACGCTTCAGCCATCAAGTGGGATTGCTGGCAGAGGGTCATTAAGAGTAAATGGCTCTGCGGGCAGCAACCATGTTCCCACCAGGATTGGCCTACTCAATGTTGATGACTCTTTGCTGGCCCTATTTCAGTTTCGCAGAAACAGCTTCTGCTTCTGCCATAAAAAGGAACTTCTAATCCACACTGAAGGTTAAATTCTTAAAAACATAACATAAGAACGACCGTACTGGGTCAAACCAATGGTCTGTCTAGGCTAGTATCTTGTCCTCTGACAGTGGCCAGTACCAGATGCTTCAGAGGGAATGAACAGAACAGGACAATTTCAAGTGATCCATCCCTTGTTTTCCCAGTCCCAGCCTCTGGCAGTTAGAGGTTTAGGGACACCTGGAGCATGAGATTGCATCCCTGACCATCTGAGCTAATAGCCAGTGATGGACCTATCCTCCATGAACCTATCTAATTTTTTTAACCTATTTATACTTTTGGCCTTCACAGCATCCCATGGCAATGTGTTCCTCAAGTTGACTGTGTGTTGTGTGAAGAATTACTTCCTTATGTTTATTTTAATCCTGCTGCCTATTAATTTCATTGGGTGATCCCTGGTTCTTGTGTTATGTGAAGGGGTAAATAACACTTCCCGATTCACGTTCTCCCCATGATTCATGATTTTATAGACCTCTATCATATTCCCCTTAGTCATCTTTTCTCTAAGCTGAACAGTCTCAGTCTTTTTAATTTCTCCTCATATGGAAGCTCTTCCATATGCCTAATCATTTTTGTTGCCCTTCTCTGTACCTTTCCAATTCTACTATATCCTTTTTGAGATGAGGTAATTGCAATGACTGGAGTGTGGGTGGTCAGAGCTGGAGACAGTGTCTGGTGCCAAGCCAGGGGCCAGAGCCAGAGACAGCATCAGGGCAAAGGCATAGGAGTGGGGACCTGGAGTAAGGCAGGCAAGCAGGAACTGGGAATAGATGGGGGTCTGGTATAAAGAAGATAGGAACCAGGCTCAGGAGCCAGGTAATCAGGTACATAATAGCAGCCAACCAGGTGCTCAGACAGCTTCCTGTGTTACTTCATGCCCATGACTGCTTAGTTTGCTGAAGAGCCTTTGGTGAGAGACACTGTCAAAAGCTTTCTGAAAGTCCAAGAGCATGATATCCACTAGATCACCCTTTTCCACATGCTTGTTGATCCCCCTCAGAGAATTCTTATAGATTGGTGAAGCATTATTTCCCTTTACAGAAGCTGTGTTGAATCTTCCCCAACAAGTTGTGTTCAGCTATGTGTCTGATAATTCAGTTCTTTACTATAATTTCAACCAGTTTGCCTGGTACTGAAGGTAGGCTTATTGGCCTATAATTGCCAGGATTGCCTCCAAAGCCTTTTTAAAAATCTGCCTTACATTAGCTACCTTCCAGTCATCTGGTATAGAGGCTGATTTAAGAGGTAGAATACATATCACAGTTATCAGAGTAACAGCCGTGTTAGTCTGTATTCACAAAAAGAAAAGGAGTACTTGTGTCACCTTAGAGACTAACCAATTTATCTGAGCATAAGCTTTCGTGAGCTACAGCTCACTTCATCGGATGCAGTGAGCTGTAGCTCACAAAAGCTTGTGCTCAAATAAATTGGTTAGTCTCTAAGGTGCCACAAGTACTCCTTTTCTTTTTGCGAATACAGACTAACACGGCTGTTACTCTGAAACCTGTCATTATGCAAGGCACTGCATTTAGCCGTATGCATCCGATGAAGTGAGCTGTAGCTCACGAAAGCTTATGCTCAAATAAATTGGTTAGTCTCTAAGGTGCCATGAGTACTCCTTTTCTGTTTGCATATCACAGTTAGTAGTTCTGCAACTTCATATTTGAATTCCTTCAGAACTCTTGGGTGAATACCATCTGATCCTAGTGTCTTATTACTGTCTAATTTATCAGTTTGTTCCAAAACCTCCTCTACTGACACCTCAGTCTGGAACAGCTCCTCAGATTTGTCACCAAAAAGAATGACCTGGGTGTGGGAATCTCCCCCACATCCTTTGTAGTGAAGACCAATGCAAAGAATTAATTTAGCTTCTCTGCAGTGTCCTTGTCTTCCTTGAGTGCTCCTTTAGCACCTCCATTGTCCACTGGCTCCACTGACTGTTCGGCAAGCTTCCTGCTTCTGCCGTACCTTAAAAAATGTTGCTGTTAGTTTTTGTGTCTTTAGCTAGTTGATCTTCAAATTCTTTCTTGTCCTGCCTTATTATACTTTTACCTTGACTTGCCAGAGTTTATGTTCCTTTCTAATTTCCCACACTAGGATTTGACTTCCTGGTTTTTTTTAAAGGATGCCTTTTTGCCTCTGTCACTTTTACTGTGCTATTTAGCCATGTTGGCATTATTATTATTATTATTATTATTTTGGTCCTCTTACTTTTTTTGATTTGGAGTATAAATTTGCTTTGATCCTCTCTTTCAGTGTTTTTAAATAGTTTACAGAAATTTCCCCCTTGTGACTGTGCCTTTTAATTTCCGTTTAACTAGCTTCCTCATTTTTGTGTAGTTCCCCTTTTTGAAGTTACATGCTAGTGTGGTGGGTTTCTTTGGCATTTTCTCCCCGATGAGGATGTCAAATTTAATTACATTATGATCTCTATTACCGAGTGGTTCAGTTATGTGCACATCTTGGACCAGATCCTGTTCTCCACTTAGAACTAAATCAAGAATTGCCTCTTCCCTTTTGGGCTCCAGGACAAGCTGTTCCAAGAAGCAGTAATTTATGGTGTCTAGAAATTTTATCTCTGCGTCCCTTCCTGAGTGACATTTACCCAGTCAATATGAGGATAGTTGAAGTGCCCCATTATTATTGCATTTTCTGCCCTTGTAGCCTCTCTGATCTCCCCGAACATTTCACAATTACAGTCACCTCCTGGGCAGGTGATCGGTAGTATATTCCTACTGCTATCCTTTTACTGTTCAAGCATGGAATTTTTATTCATAAAAAGTCTATGGTACAGTTTAATTCATTTAAGATTTTCACTTTATTTGACTCTCTGCTTTCTTTCACATATAGTACTACTACTCAAAGCGACCTACTCTGTCATTCCTGTTTATTTTGTACCCTGATACTACCATGTCCTTTGATTCCACCAAGTTTCCACTGTGCCTGTTATATCAATGTCCACATTTAATGCCAGCCATCATACTTCACCCATCTTAGTATGTAGACTTCTAGCATTTTTAAATAAGCATTTGTACAGTTTGTCAATATTCAGTTGCCTGCCTTCATGAGTTATATTTATATGGGACTCTATTTTGTTTGACTGTTCCTCTGTAGCTCCTCCCTGTACTTTACCAACTTTATTCCGATCTTCTTTACTAGGATATAGAGTCCCCATTAATAAATTCATCCCTAAGGGGTGTCTGAGCCCAAACCATGTGCTTTTCCACACCTGTTGGCTTTTCCTCAGCCCTTTAATTTAAAAAAATCTTCTACAACCTTTTTAATTTTATATCCCACCAGTCTGGTTCTGTTTTGGTTTAGGTGGAGCCCATCCTTCCCATATGGGATACTCCTTTCCCAGCGGTTCCCCAGCTCCTAATAAACCTAAAGCCCTCCTCCTTACATCATCGTGTCATCAACTAATTGAGACCCTGCAGTTCTGCCTGTCTTTCTGGCCCTGCATGTAGAATTGGAAATATTTCAGAGAATGTTACCATGAAGTCTTGGACTTTAATCTCTTCCCCAGCAATCTAAATTTGGCCTCCAGGACCTCTTGCCTACCATTCAGCAGTAGGGTGGCCTCTGCTTTATTTAAGCAATGTAAGCTGTCATGGGATAAGAGGGAAGATTTTCTCATGGATTGGTAACTGGTTAAAAGACAGGTAACAAAGGGTAGGAATAAATGGTCAGTTTTCAGAATGGAGAGAGGTAAATAATGGTGTCCACCAGGGGTCTGTACTGGGACCTGTACTATTCAACATATTCATAAATGATCTGGAAAAGGGGTAAACAGTGAGGTGGCAAAATTTGGAGGTGATAAAAAAAATACTCAAGATCGTTAAATCCAAAGCAGACTGCAAAGAGCTACAAAGGGATCTCACAAAACTGGGTGACTGGGCAACAAAATGGCAGATGAAATTCAATGTTGATAAATGAAGTAATGCACACTGGAAAATATAATCGCAACTATACATATAAAATGATGGGGTCGAAATTAGCTGTTACTCAAGAGAGAGATCTTGGAGTCGTGGATAGTTCTCTGAAAACATCCACTCAATGTGCTGTGGCAATCAACAAA